AAATATTATCCTTCCTGGATGCAGCTCTCTTCCAGTCATGGCTCGTGGATGGTACAGTCCACACTCATTTACCAATACGAATAATGCAAGAGTCCTTTCCTAAATATTCACAGAGTCTGATCACCAACCAAGAGCATTGTGCACTTGTGGCAACCCATTCTCATCACCTTCAGCCAAAATTCTTATGACGGCATGTTCCCACTACCCATGCCCTCAGCCAAATTTTTTCACAACTGCATGTTCCTGTCACCCCAGCTCTCAGCCAAATTTTTTCATGACAACGTGTTCATGTCATGTGGCTCTTATCCAATATTTTTTCATGACATGATGGTCATGTCACTTTGACCCAAGGGATTAAGGAAATATGAAGATGAATGATACAGTGGGTTGCAAAACTATCTTAGTTGGCTGGATTGATATGTTAAAATAGCTGTAAAATGGAAATACAAGTTAGGATTTATGCTATTATATTAGGAGATTTAAGTATAGAAGAAATTTGTATAGGAGCTTGTGCAGTAGAATAGTGAATAATGCAGTTAAAAGATTATGAGCAATGATTAAAGAAACCAAATTTTAGAAAATTAAAATGTAATCAATACTTGGTTTTATGTTAAAAAAATGCAAAGAAGTGCTACTGCTTGAGCTCAGCTATTTTCATGCATTAATCTAAAATTTCTTATAGATAAAACATGTGTCTTATGTCAGGCTAAAGTGTAGATTTTAGTTAATTCAATTTGTTTCAGAATTCTCTTTTACGTAGAAAGATTTGAAAGTCTTCATAGATTTCGATAAGGTAAAGTAGCCAGTTACAGCTTAAGATACTTAGTTCTTGAGAATTACAGCACATGGTTTATGAGCTACTTCAATAACATTTGAGAATTTATTATTAATAGATATTTTGTCTTTTTACCATTAGCTTAGTGTCTTAGAGTTAGTATTTAGTCTAACCACAGAGTACATCGTGTGGGCTAGTAGATGATGAGGAGATACCAAGATTTTAGTGATGAAGATGCTACATGCTTTGATATATAAATCTATGAAGCGTATGTGATTATGTATGCTTACCAAAGATATAAAGCACTTTGGTTTGCAACTCAAAATGAATTCTGCTCCTGAGTTTGCCAATAATTGAATAGAGTTGAGTCTTTTAGAAGGTAAGACTCAGAATAGTGCATGGGACAACATATTGTTATATTTTTCCTGTTGCCAATTAACAATTTTTCATAACATAGGTTAACTGTCTGGAATCATACATTGGCATGATGTAGTTTATATATCACTTACAGATTACATTTATGTCTTGGGAGTAATGGGGATGAATTGGCTCTAAACTAAACTTTAGCCCTTAAATCTAATTAAGATTCGTTTTATCACTTATAGATAATAAGATACTGGCTTCTCAGTGATATGTTGATTAATCAATATGTCTTTGTACTGTTTTGTTTTTCTTGTTCTTGTTTTTTTTTCTTTCCTTTCTTCTTTTAATGCCATTATGTTTTAACAGTGCCCTCTTTTACGGGTCTAAATCAACAATTGTGATAGTTCCATTCTGATTATTATCACTTGATCTCCATTTTATTGCCATTATGCCCTACATCAAAATTTTAGTGTTTGACAGTAATTTTCTCTCTCTTAAACAATTATGCTGAAGTTTGCACTCTTAATGCTTAATATCAGTTTTAATTTCTCCTGTAACATTAAAAAAGAATTTTTACTAGGCTCTATACTTGTAAATATAGGTAATATAACTTTAATGCAGAAATATATACATCCATTAGAAATTAGAGTCTATATTTTACTAGTGTTTTCCACAGTTTTTTTCATATATATAAGTAGGTCAGTAACATTATGTTTTAGGGTTTTGTTATTTGCTTGATATATCATCCTTGGTTTATGATATTCTGTGGGGAATAGATATGTATTTTTATAAAAAATGTAAAGATATGAATTGATGAGTTTAAGGTCTGATGGGGTCAAATGGTAGCATTTGGAATGTAAAACATATCACACATGTGAGTTGACTTGCACCATGTCATATTATGGAAAAAGTAAAATGAAATCACATTTACAAGGAAGAATTTTTTTTTTTTTTCCATTTTTTTTTTTTATAGAATGCAAGATTGTGACCCATTATTCCCAATAATGTTGCTGAGAGTGTTATCTTGACCTTTCATCAATGAGAGATCTCCATGAAAAAATACCCCCTCCATAAAAGAAGAAAAAGAATGATTACCCTGTAAATTAGGATTGACAATTGATATTCTACTCCAAAGTTTTGGCAGTGACAAAGATGCAGCCTCTAAAATTGCAATTTGTATGGCCATAAAAATGCCCAAAATATTTGAGACAATTGATGTTGCTTCATTAGTTTTATCATAAATGAAAAGGCTTCCAAACACTCATGGACAATCACTCACTTCTCCTTCTTGTGCTGTTTGGAGAGATACAGTGCACTCTAAACTTCTTCATTGCAATGCTCATGCATGCCTATATGTTGCAGACACGATGATGCTTCCCCCACAAGCTTGCAAGGAGAAAGGTAAGTTGGTTTAATGTATTTGTTATGTATGATTATTATTTTTTTCTATAACCATATATGTGTCTATAAGATTCATCTATACATAAGATTTGAGTTAACTTTGATACAGGAATGTATTGATGTATATATGTATATATATATATATATATATATATATATATATATATATATATATATATATATATATATATATATACATATATATATATATATATATATATATATATATATATATATATATATATATATATATATATATATATATATATATATATATATATATATATATATATATATATATATATTATATATATATATATATATATATATATATATATATATATATATATATAATATATATATATATATATATATATATATTATATATATATATATATATATATATTATATATATATATATATATATATATATATATATATATATATATATATATATATATAATATATATATATATATATATAATGTCTTTTGTGGATATAATAAAAAAAATGTGTATATATACAACTACATATTTTGTGGTACACACAAACCCATGCACATGCATGCTTGCATATTTACAAGCACACCTGGGTACACACACACACACACACACACACACACACACACACACACACACACACACACACACACACACACACACACACACACACACACACACACACACACACACACACACACACACACACACACACACACACACACACACACACACACACACACACACACACACACACACACACACACACACACACACACACACACACACACACACACACACACACACACACACACATCCATTAGCAGTCACCTTTGCATTGTAGGCACTTGGCCATAGTGGTCACTTTTTGTTGGTCCTTTGGATTTTTCCCATTGTCTTAAACATTAAGAATTCAGTCTAAAGTTGTCAGCTTTCCAATGTGGTCATGGTCACATGATTTTCCGGTCCAGCCGATGTAGCAACATTGTTGATTACAGTTACACCATACTTACCTGAATACCACAGTGGCTGTATTACAAGTCGCATCACATCAAAACCATTCCCATGCAGTCAGCTCATCGGACTGAGCTTGTTTTTCTTTGATAGTAGCTGCATCATTTGTGTGGTTAAACTTTTAGGCTATAGGACTGAAAATGAAGAAAAAAAAAAAAAAAACATCATTTTTTGAAAATGATATCAAAATATAAGCTTTCAGGTGCCTAAAGTTGTTCGCAAATAACTGAACGAACCAACAGGAAACTGCCAATGCGGGCCAACACCCCACATTAATGGATACTAGCCAAATTTTGCCTATGGTAAATGAATCAGCCTTTTCTCTATAGTGGTCAACTGTCTGTAGTGGTGACACTTGGCCAGTCCCTTGAGAGACCGCTATAGACAGGTTTGACTCACTAAATTTTGAGGTCCTTCAATTTAGATTGCAAATCATTGTTCCACATTTTTTCCATTGGTACAAAAATATTGTCTTTTGTTTTAACCATTGTTAGTCATTTTTGAGCTTATATTAAAGCCATCAGGATCTTGCCTAATCTTTAATCCATTGGTTGTGGATGGCACCATTAGTTCGTGGGAAGGAGTTTGTCTTTCTCTGATAGTATCTTTTTTTTGGTGTCATGACTAGATACATGACTAAGATCTCAAAGTAAGGGCTGAAATGCTAAACAAGCCAGATGCAAATGGAGTAAGTGATGGTGCACACTGACTCCTTATAAATAGCTGGTTTTTTGCTGTACACTTCTCAGGAATATACACATACAGTTCAACAGAGCTCTGTATTTGATTCACCTTTTCCAACTAATGGAGTAGGAAAGAAACATGTAATTAGGTTAACCCAATAACTGCTGTAATGATTACTGGCCTGTTGCCAGTAATGTGGGCTAATTAGTGCACACTAGCAGTTTCCTTTGTTTACACCCAGCTTGTTCAGTAATTCAAGCGCAGCTTTAGGCAGTAAATAGCTTGTAACACTGTTTCATAAACAAAAGTACTGAAATATTAAAGCTTTCCCTTCGCTTTATCTGTTTGCAATCTAATAGAGACATCAAACAAATGATGTTGCTAATATTGGAGATAGATGAGCTTCTTCTGATGAACCGATTGTGATTTAAACCCAACTTTGAGACATCCAAAAAAGTAAACATTGCTGGGAGTCCCGCTGGTGCGACACCAGATCGAAGCTCGCACTCTGATTTTGTCGCCCATGGCGCGCGGTGTGCAGGCAGGTTGCAGGACTCGCCTGGGCATCGATTTTGAAGCCGCCCGGAAAATATTATTTTTGGCTTACAAATGTACCGTCGCTAGTGGGTTAAAAGTAGCCTTAAAGACAATGACCCCTGTATGGTCTGACGTTGGCTCATTAATGGTTCATTAGACTTGGGAACAGTTTACTTACAACCAAGTAAATCATTGATATTATGTATTCATATATTTGAGTGACAATCAAAGCAGTATTATTCTTTAAAGCGTAAATTCCTATTCGCCACAATTGCAGTAAACCCTGTAATGTGCAAAGAATTTTTCTTGCTATGAATGTGTAAGGCATATCAAAACTTGTGGTTCTTCTGCATTTTTTTATGATGGATGGGACATATGCAGTGGCCACTGGTACTGTTTCCTTCAACACACTCATTGTAGAACCCCTCTACCCTCACTCACTTTGTAGGTGCCCTTCTCCTTGAACCAGTCACATACATGCTTTCCTGTATAAGTGTGAATTAGCACTTCTGGTTCTTTTGTCATATATCATCCTGGTAAAGCATCTTCTTTTTACTATATATGCATCTAGATACATATAATACATCTGAATGCACATTTTTTAGGGTTATGTGATAAGAATATGGTTTTATTTTTGTATTCATAGTTTTCTATCTGCATTTTCATTCATATATGAAGGGTAACAGTGATAACTTTTTTAACATTGCAATCTGCTGACACTTTGATATATGATATTGAATATGCACTTTCTAGTGTGAAAATATAGCTTTTCAAATGCCTGTAACAAATATTTATTTTAGTGAAATTTAGGAAATCATACCTCTTTTGTGATGGGTGGAGGGCAGACAAGTTGAAGGGTTTGTGTTTCTTAGGGGTTAGAGACATTGCGATGGAACCAAAATATTATTGTATGTTTTCTAACAAGCAGCGGGTCTAATGATTATATTACAACAATTTTATCCTCTATTGATGTTTTGTAATTTTTGAATAACAACTGTGACCTGCTTAGGCTTTAATCAGTGCCTTTATGTTTATACCTTGCAGTCTGCCTTTCTAGGATTTTACTTGCTTGACACAATCAGGTTTTCCCCTCTCAGACTGGAATACAGTTAAGACAAGGAATAAAGGGTGTTGATAGACTGAAAGAGATTCATATGACAGTTGCATGACCTTAGAACTTGCAGTAGTGTGTTTGAAAGAGCTTTTTATGGGAGTATTTGATTCTATTATATATGCAAAATAGTATTCATGTGAATATTGGTAGCATTACCTGGTAATTATAAGATTATATTTGATATTCACTTTTTCTCAGTTGTCTATGAAATGAGCATGTTTCTTTCTTTCTTTTTAATCATTTTGATTGTAAAGACATTTTAACCAATAAGCCTGTTTTTGCAATTTCTATATAAGTCAGAGCTGTTTCTGAAAGAAATATTTTGTACTCAGCCCATGCAGAGTGATCCAAATCCTTACTTTCTGTCAGCTGCATAGCGCCTGACAAGAATGTTTTTCCTCAAGCATGTTTTTGCTTCAAGATCAGTGTCATTGAAATCACTCTTATAGGCCAGGGAAGGTCATGATGAGTTAAGCTGGAGTTGCAAAATAAACTGTATAATTATACAAGCACAATTAAAACAAGAATACATTACTTTTGCTGTAATATGAGAGTATTGTGGAACATTGCTTTTGGATATGTATTAGTCATTATTATTATCATTATCATTGTCACTGTCATTGTCATTATTATTATTATTATTGATATAATTATTATTGTTCTTAATAATAATGATAATAATGATAATAATAATAATAATAATAATAATAATAATAATAATAATAATATATAAATAATAATAATAATAATAATAATAATAAAATAATGATAATGATAAATAATAATAATAATAATAATAATAATTAATAATAAATCATCACCATCATCATCATCATCATCATCATCATCATTATTGTTATATTATATTGTTATTATTATTGTTATTATTATTTATTATTATTATTATTATTATTATTATTATTATATTATCATTATCATTATCATTATCATTATCATTATCATTATCATTATCATTATGTCATTGTCATTGTCATTATCATTATCATCATTATCATTATCATTATCATTATTATTATTATTATTATTATTATTATTATTATTATTATTTATTTTGTTATGTTGTTGTTGTTGTTGTTGTTGTTGTTGTTGTTGTTGTTGTTGTTGCTATTTTGTTATTATTATTATTATTATTATTATTTTATTATTATTATTATTATTATTGTTATTATTATTATTATTATATTATTCTTATTGTTATTATTATTATTATTTTCGTATAATTTCATTATTTTGTTGTTTGTTATCATTATTATTGTTATTATTATTATTGTTATTATTATTATTATTATTATTATTATTATTATTATCATTATTATTGCTATAATTTTTATTATTGTTATTATTATTATTACTATTATTGTATATGGTATTTGTCAACGTAAGAGTTGGGGGGCATGGAGGTGGTGGTGAATGAAAGGGGACTTGCTTGAGGAGTTTATTGGGGAGGTAATGAGTGGCCCCGAGAGTGACCCCGCGCCCCGAGGGCCGAGGGCGGCCTCCTGCCCTATGAGTCCTGCTAGGTCTTGGTCTGCTTCTCGTGCTGTCTTCTCTGCCTGACAAGACGTCCGTATATCCAGCGCCTCCTTGTCCTGCTGGTGGAGGTGCCTGGTACCCTATTCTTTGGGTGTCCA